AACAACATCATCTGCATGTATCTACCAATACGTTCACCAGGAATATCGCCACGGGCCTAGGAAGATTTGAATCGAAGAAAGTTACGGTTTCTTGCTTTCACTCTACACTTTCTCCACTGCGGCCATCTTCATGTCTCCTCCGCTTCATCTACTTCTTCGGTTCGACTTCCCATCGATCTGAAACCATCGATTTAGGGATTATTGTTCCAGGTATGTAACCGATTTCAAGTATTTTTTGATTTAAACTCATTTAGTGGGTGTGTGTGTTTGAAAAATCAGAAACGATGACGGGCTAGAAGCTTATTGAACATAGGAAAAGAATATTTAGGGTATTTGGTTGGAATGGACCGAAGAACAAACCCAAAATTCATATTTCGAATATGGAACCGAGAAACTGATTCGTCGGATTTAGAAGCTATTCCAGAGAGAAGTAAGATGATGGACAAGGCAGGAAAGAAGACCGTGACGGAAGGAGTTGACTACATCCACATGTGTGTTCGACACCATAAACTGATTCCTTCTCCTAATCAGTAGATTTTTCATCTAATCAACTAATTACTTACATGTATTTTCATTTTCTGTAACCCTAGCTTTCATCCGTTCCTTTTTTGGTCATTTTTTCAATTAATTAGGTATTTTTGTGGTGATTTTAATATTTTGATCGCCTATCATAATTTCAATTGGCTTATTTGATATTTTTTTCATTGTCCTGCTTCCAATCTAGTGAAAGATGTAAAAGATGAGAGAAACATAGAAGTAACAGAAAGAGAGCGTTTTCACAGCAGTGAACAAAATCATGCTGGCAATCGGCTCATTTTGCAATTGGAGCTCCTATAAGCTTATAATGCCATACTTTATCTTGCTTAAAATCATTGTGTTTGCAACTTATTTGTGAGACACTACACCGTACATGGCTAAACAACAGTTGTTTTAACTAATTTTGTTAGACATATTTTTAATAATGATGTAGCTGTTATAATGTAGCCATTTTTATTTTTAAATTCTGATTTTGTTTGTTGGCTCTTCTGTTTTTATTGTTCTTGTGTTACAGTTGTGCGCTTCTGATGCTATCCAGTCAATGTTATCAGATGTCTCTTCAACCATTTCTTTGCTCACAAAAAATGGTCTATTTTTTGTAATTTACTCTAAATGTTTATAGCGTTTTTCAGCTGTTGATTTCTTCAATCAGGTGAATCTTCTCTATGGCAATTTAACTGTACAACAGTCGGCCCAGTACGTGGCCGACTTGGGCGGAAGCCCAATTTGATTATTTGTTGATTAGTGAAGAGAAACCTGATTGGAACGGGCATCATGTCAACTGACCAAAAGAAGAAGTTGTTATGGGGGAGTAAGAAGAGCACAGCTACCGAAGAGGTATACTATGTTGATTATATGTTGAGCTTTTGACATTCTATCATCCATCAGAAGTATTCTGATGAAGCATAATATACAGTCACTTAGAAATAATGATTTCGTAACCAAAGTCCAAACACATGTATTTCTTCCCAAAATTAAAGATAATATTATAGTGATAGTCATTTTTTTTTTGTATTCATTTTTAAGATATCTATCAGGAGGACTATTTTATCCACTACATGAAACCTAATGTACTTATAATGAAGGAATTTCCAAGAGGTAAAGTCATTTGATGTTAAAGTCGGGTACAAATAAGATATTTATTATTTATAATACATAACATAAACAAAAATGTGTTTTTCATTGAAGGCAAGATCAATTATACTAGAAGATGGCTATCTGAACAAGATGATGGCTACCTAAACAAGTTGTATATATAATATGTAAGACAATTTCAATTTCTTATGTTTTTTGAATATATTGTCATAAATATTTAAATTGAATAATAATTTGACAACCTTTTATTTGATTTTGTATTATTAATCAATCATGGAGGAATATGAAATCGAATAGTTACTCGGAAGCAAAAATGCCTTAAAACTATGATAGGGTTGCGATTGAAAGCTTCATTACTATGTTTGGCATTTTCAATAAAACTATGATAGGGTTGGGATTGAAAACTTCATTTAATGTTCTCTGACCAGGAACGACAATAGAAGTTCAAGAAACTCATAGTACTTTTACTTGTGTTCTTTTTATTATTTATCCGGTCACTGCAGTTGCACAACACAATAGTTGTTTGCTGCTATTGACACATGTTTTAGAGTTTGAGGTTGTATTGGTACATATGCCCAATTGTAGGGTCTATAAGTGGATCCAAAACCAGATGCTCCAAACGCCACTGTTGCAGAGAAGCAGAAAGATTTTTAGATGGACTTCGAGAAACAGTACACTGCTGGCCTTCGTTGCAGATCTCCAAATCTTCAAACCCTAATTACAGGTTTTTAGTCACGCTTTGAACTTATCTGATTAACTTTTTAAAAAAAAAAATTTCATTTGTGTACTTTTATTTGTGGTAATAAATTGGAAAAAGGTACATTTTTTTTAGATGAATGTTAGTACTAGATTATTCGAGTTAAGGACTTAAGGGTAGATTTGGAATAGTGAATGTGATAATGAATTAGTTTTGAAGCAAAGGGGAAAAGGGTAGGGATAGAGGGTAGGAATTAGGATTTCAATCGTTGGATTTTATGATGTTTTTAATAGGAAAGTAGTATTATTTAATAATCGAATTTGGAACATGTGGGCATGATGTTGGGTTAGAAAATGAGTTTGAAGTGGGCCAAGTTGTTTTGCCTCGGGTTTTTTATTTATTTATTTATGATTAGAGGGAAAAGTGATTATGTGAACTATTATTCTACAGCTAAGTCAAAAATCCTATAAAGAAGGTGAAAAGAAAGTTCCTACACAAGGATCATTTGATTTCATGACATATTGACTTAGTACTCCATTTCCTTTTTCTACGGTTTGTGGATGGTCTGTTTAATGCAACAACTAACATGTAAGTATTTGTTTTATAATGTTTTTTTAAGTCTTTGATTTTTTTGAATAAATCCAATCAAGTCTGATGAATCTATTTTCTAATATTTTACATATTTTGATTTGCTGACGTTTCAGATATTCAATGTTCATGACTTCTAAAATCAATGGAATTCTAAGAATGGCCCAAATATTAACATCACCTTCACGAAGGACCTGGTATAGTTTTTGTATTACATACTTAAGGTATAAGTTTAAATTATAGTTAAATTATTGATATTCTATATGTTATGATTTTAATCCTTAGACACTGATTTTTTCTGAGTTATTCGTTTTGTGTGCTCACTACGGAACTCTTGAAAGGTAGACATATTGGAATGATTGAAAGGGTAAGAATTCCTGAATGGTTTAAACAACTTTTGGTAGGAGACGATTTGTTTGGATTCTTCAAATGATGGCAGCGGTGGAACCCCAAATGCGGATTCATCTGCTAAGAAAAACAGAGGAAGGCCAGCGGGTTCTGGGAAGAGGCAATTGGATGCTTTAGGTAATCGGTCTTATCTAATTTGATGTGTTTTTTCATAATAATTGAATCTTAATAAAGAGATTCTAAATACTACCACAGGTGTACCTAATTTGGGCTCTTACATTATTTCCTCTATATTGAAGATACTCAAATTATGTTGATTTTTTTTTATTATGTTGACATTAATTAGCAGGATATAGCCTCAACAATTATGACACTCATCGCCAGCCTGCAACCTTGCAACCTCTGGTGGCACTGTAAGTTATGAGGTTGCTTAATAGCCTCAACAATTATGACACTCATCGCCAGCCTGCAACCTTGCAACCTCTGGTGGCACTGTAAGTTATGAGGTTGCTTAATATTTTCTTATTTTTCCTTTTTTAATTTAATAGACTTTTTCCATAATTAATGTTTTCATATATATTTCAGGCTAGATTTGAGATAATATCTTTATCAGGTTCCTTCTTACACTACATATTCAATGTTTTTAAGTAAGAGTTTTTTTTTTAATATCAATATTGATGTGCATGTGTTTATTACTACCATGATTTACCGTTGCATTTCTTATTTTCTGCTTTATTGTATGCTAAGAAAGTTCATGGTGGTATTGAACTATTGATGTTGTTTTGCTAGCCACTAACGATAAGTTTCTTTCATCCGATTTATGGCAAATTACACTGAATAGCAACGTACTTTACTATGGATACCATTCGGGCAGTGTACTTTAGATAATAGTAATGTATGAAACACATGAACATACACGCAAAACTAACACTTTCCGCCCGTGCAACGCGCGGGAAACCTTTCTAGTTCTCAAGTATATTTCTTTATGATTTTTATGTGTTACACCAAAGATGTTATACTAAAGAGTGGAATCAATTATTTTTGTATGGATTAATTATATTTCTCTATATTTCCATTCTTTACGTCAATTCAATTTTTGTGTATCAAATGCACCCTTAATTTGTATAATACGTTATATACTCCCCTTCACGATTGTATTTTGGTTTAGTACCCCTAAAATCGTGCTACTTTTATGTTCTTAATCTAGTTCCTTTCCTCATTTAAAAAGGATAATACATTCTAGTTTTTATTTTTAATATTTTATACAAAATTTTAATAGGAGAAAACAACACTTGCGAAATACACAATTTTATTTCTAAACCACGACTTGCTAAAAAGCATTTGAAGGTTAGTGACTTTAATTTTCTTCCAATAGTTGGACATCGAGTGCTACTATATGTACCCCTCGCTCATATAAATCGTCACATCATCGGAGGTACACAAGCATTATTACATTTATATTGGGACGTACACAAAGCAATTAGAGGGTACATATGAAATTTCTTTTGGACATATTGAAAGTTACAATGATTGTTTTTCCCTACTTATGTAACAAAATAAAGAACACTTTTAAAAAACATATTTTACAAACCCAATCCCATATATATATATATATATATATATATATATATATATATATATATATATATATATATATATATATATATATATATATATATATATATATATATATATATATATAATCCTTTTTTATTTTCCATGCATAGAATATATATTAAATTGGCTCTGTGAGATTGGAAGTGGAAGATGGGAGGAGGTGTTGGTGTTGACTTCCATCATGAAGCTCATCGATGACAATCTTAGATGGTTTAGAAGAATTCATGTAAATTGAATAAACTGCAAGTTGTGCAAATCCAAGAAAAAATCCAGTCCCATTTGGTACCTAACGAATAAATGGTTAAAGTGAGCATGATAGATAAAACCACATCAACAAAATAAGAGACATTTTGTATTTTGTATAATTTTATAGAAATGTTTCATTAGTTATCATATTAGATCTTTTCAACGATAATTCACATATTGATATTAATGTTGACGATGTAACATTGTTAAACATATAGTGCTTTATTTTTGGAATTGATCACTTATACAACAAAATCTATTATTCTTTCAATTTATGTAATAAAAATAAAACAACTAACTGAGACAACCTTGAGACCATGTAAGATTTATTCATCTTGACATTTGTTAAAATTCAAAGCAAAGCAATTCAAACATATATAGACACCGAGACAACAATATGACCACAATCCAATCAAATAAAATATGGAAGTGATATGCACAACTAGATAAAGCTCCAACTTACTAATAATTATGACATAAACATTTGATCAAAAGTTACGAAAATTTCGTTTTAAGATAGTTACTGTTCCAAGTCACGTACACTTTTCAAGATGAAAAACACTAAGTTCATATTTTTTTAATAAACTTATATTCGTTAGTTAAAAATTTTGTGTACCAAGTACTTAGTTTTTTTTAACAAAAGTAGATTAAGGGGCAAGCAAGAAGCTAATTTATACTTTATACACTTACTCCCAATGTTTTAAAAACCGGTTTTTTAGTTGAACCGGTGTGGTGACCGGTTCACGGTTCAACCGGTTCGACCGCCGGGTGAACCAGTTTTTCTATTTTTCATGTCTTTTTCTATTTTCCTATACATACATTCTTATATAAATTATGAATTTGATGTTTACATGTTCAAACATTTAAAATACACATAATTTTTTTTTTAATGAATCCAAATACATTAAAATAACTATAATCATAAGTTTTAGTGTTTATATAAACCATATACGTCAAAAAGAAAATAAAATATAATACCGAAACGAAATATAGTTTTAGATGAATACAACCAAATCAAAAAACTTTATAACGTTAATGATATGTTTTTATCTAGAGAAAACTCAATAGATTTGAAAAAAAATCACCAAAGTTTATTATATAAATGGTTTTTTTTCATGTGTTTTTATTCGGTTTAACCTGTTCAACCGGTTTATTTTGACCGGTTCAACCGGGTTTTTCTAAAAACCGGCCGGTTCAATCCGGTTCAGAAATCAATGTAAAACCAGTGATAATTGAACCGCTCCTTCCTCCGGTTCCCGGTCCAACCGGTTCGACCGGCCGGTTCAAACCGGTTTTTAAAACATTGCTTACTCCACACTTAATCAAGCACGTTAGACTTCGATAACTCGAACAAATACTCAGAATTAAGTTTATTATCATTGAAAATGAAACCGTTATGGAACTACTGTAAAGCCACCTAAATTGTCTAAATTGCACCATACAAGTAGATTTTAGAAATATGAATGAAGTTGTACGAATCTTCTAAAGAGCACACCATTTTAGCGTTAAAAGGCTAGGATATCGAAAATCTCCACCATGTGAAAATTTTCTTCTAAATGTCAAACGCAACATCACATTTGGCATAAATGTGATCTCCCAAATCCACTTACTTTTTACCAACATAGACAAATATGTGATTACCAATCGATCCTCTCGCTGTGAATGATTAGTAGTTACCCTTATTTATGCAAGTCTCCGAGAGAGAACATTTTCTTTAATACGAATCCCAATGTTTTAAAAATCGGTTTGAACCGGCGGATCGAACCGGTTGGACCGGAAACCGGGGGAGGGAGCGGTTCAATTATCACCGGTTTTACATTGATTTCTGAACCGGATTGAATCGGCCGGTTTTTAGAAAAACCCGGTTGAACCGGTCAAAATAAACCGGTTAAACCGAATAAAAACACATGAAAAAAAACCATTTATATAATAAACTTTTGTGATTTTTTTTTCAAATCTATTGAGTTTTCTCTAGATAAAAACATATCATTAACGTTATAAAGTTTTTTGATTTGGTTGTATTTATCTAAAACTATATTTCGTTTCGGTATTATATTTTATTTTCTTTTTGACATATATGGTTTATATAAACACTAAAACTTATGATTATAGTTATTTTAATGTATTTGGATTCATTTAAAAAAAAATTATGTGTATTTTAAATGTTTGAACATGTAAACATCAAATTCATAATTTATATAGGAATGTATGTGTAGGAAAATAGAAAAAGACATGAAAAATAGAAAAACCGGTTCACCCGGCGGTCGAACCGGTTAAACCGGTTGAACCGTGAACCGGTCACCATACCGGTTCAACTAAAAAATCAGTTTTTAAAACATTGTGGAATCCACTTATTCCATTTCGTATTTTTTAGGCTCAACTATCAAAGTGATTTTGTATGTGGTATTTCTATGTGAGACAACCCGTGGAAATGTTGTCCATATATAAACACTCACTACCAACTATTTACGATGTTAGAAAGGGATGGGTCTTTAATTGAAGATCTAGAGAATAGTTTACAGGTCATCTTAAGTCCTCCATTGATCAAAATGCATTTTCCAATTCCATACCCATATACCATCTTTCCAAACTCTCTCGAGAAGCAATCCTTTAGTCGTTGATTCCTTACTTACGCAAAAAGAAGTGGTTCCTATTTTCATCACCATTTTTTCTTTCAAATGACATGTTTATGTTAATATTAATTTCTTTAAGGTTGGAAACATAAGCTACACTATTCTTTTAATCACGATTAAAATTAACTATCTCACTTAAGAAAACTTGTATTGTCATGGATTGCTTTAATAACACAACAATTTACCTTCCATAAGGAATCTCCAAACCAATTATATAGAATAGATCGTTTGGGTATGAAATGGCTTTCCATAACATGGCATCCACACTACTTTTCCATAACGGCCTTCTTCCGTGAAATCCATATTACGGTTTTATGTCATATGCTCCCACTCTAATACAATTTCTAACCAATTCTCTCTAACAACTTTAAGGACCTTTTATGGACTTTAACATAGAGAAGAGAAATATCCCCAGCATTCCAATAATGAATGTGGACAAGTTGTTATGCCTCCAAATTTAAAGGGATTTTTTGCATTCCACTGTCATAGCTTCTTTCTAAAAATTATTCACCAAAATTACCATTTCCTAACTCTTTGCAATTGATATCCAATTAGATTACCCAAAAAGATACTTGACAACTGGGAAGATTTACAATTCAAAAGATTGGCCATGTATCGACCTCTCTTTCATTGATCCATATACCAAAATGGTCTTTTTTAATCATTCACCTTATTTCGGAACTATATGGAATCACCCCGATATACAAGCTTAATTCAAAATTTTGGCAGTCGACCACTCACCTACCATAGTAGCATCACCAGCAAAAAAAAAAAAAAAAAAAAAAAAAAAAAAAAAAAAAAATTGTAAATTTATAGAGGGTCCATCCCTAATATTGAAGATATTATATTATACATTCTTCATTGTATCTTACAAAGCCATATTCAACCCCTCTATAGATAATAAATATAAGAAATGGGACATACCCGTTGGCAGTTGGCATAGACCTCTCTTGAAAATGAAATATCTATGGGACACATATTAATATGGACCGAGGATACGGCCAATGGCGGATCCAATTGGTTGGCAGGGGTAGCACGTACTACCCCTCATTTCTCTCTACATATGTTAAAAATTGGATTTTTATTATATATACATATAATGTACTGATAAATTTAATAGTGCTCCTAGTTTAAGTAAAAACTTCAAAGCTCTAAACTATTTCCGGTTAATGAATGACCACTAAATTAATGGAACAGCCCACTTGGCGGTGGAATGCATATAATATTTCTGCAAAGGAAAAAATACATGGACAACACAAAGAGCTTATTTTGCATCTAGGCTTCTTTTTCCTAATATCTCACGGCTAGGCTAGGCTAATCGCTTATTTGGCTTGGTTTCTGTTTTTCCAAAATGAAATAGGCATCATTTATTAATTAGTTTATATTGATTTTTAATGTTTTTTATTTTAGTTTAAGTTGGTTGTTCAAATCAAAATAAAAAATTAGCTAATGAGTTATTTTGTTTGTAGGGTTTTATTGGAAATCTTTTAAAAGAAATTGGATGTTGACAATGGTATTAATGATAAAAGTGGTGGAGTGTATTCGAAAAATAGATAAACAAAGATGTCAACTTTAAAATATAAAACTTTTGGACTAGTTTGATATATCTAATGCAATCATATTTAAAAAAAAAATACTTATTATCATTTATCAAGAATATCATTGTGCTACCCCTAACAAAACTTTCTAGTTCCGCCGCTGGATACGGCCAACCATGGACACTCTTTTATTCATGAAAAATATAATAATTGAAACCTATGGAGAGCATACATTTGTGAAAATAATCACAAGAAAGGGATTTATAATACTTTTCTATATATATTTTAAAAATTATTCATTTCTTGTATGTATATTTAGCCAAATTGAAGATTTCATTTTAAATGAGGAAAAAATCAATCAACTACTAATCTTTAACAAAAGCATTCTATATTTTACTGAAAAATTACCTATAACTTGTGTAAAAATGTTTCACAAGTTTTTCTATATTATTTTGTAAACAATACTAACAAGATCGATTCCATCATACTTGGTTGTTGTCAAAGGATATTGTAGACTGAGAAGCAATAAATTACTCATTGCAGCCATTTCGGATGATAATTGTACTTTCAAACTCTTTCACATCCCCTGTGACACATTCTTTCATGATAGGCCAGAATTTCTCAAACAATCAATGAAAAACTCATTCCAAGTAATGTTTCGAAGCCCATGCTTTCCAACTTTATCTCGTTTGTTAAAATGTAAGCGTCGAAAACCATCGATTCCAATTTCATAAGGGACTTGAACATTGAACTTAAACTACACTTCAATATCTTAGGTTTCATGATCAAATCATCATCCACCACTACTCCGTTAATAGCTTTATGTATTTAGTTCTTGTTCACATACTAATGGAACATTTTGGTGTTTT